AATGGCCAGATTTAAGGATTAGTTTGTACTTACAGTCTAGTTTGGGTATTAAATCCACCTGAAGCAGATCAGGAGCGCTAGCCAACACTGACAGGGAGAGTTATTTGGACTTAAAACTCTGTTTGAGCCCCAGACATGATTTAATCTACTTATGGGTAGTTTTGGATCCAATTATGACTTTCACCTCCACTTCTTTGGAAAGAACTAAATAGCATATGGTAGCATTTCCAACAATGTATTTATCCCAAAGACCCTCACTGGACCAGCATGGATACTGCAAAAACAACAGAACCGATTGTAAATATGTATTAAGAACTCTAAGGAGGACTCCTTTGAACAGACTTAGAACAAAATATTATTAATTAATGGGAATAAGTGAAATGCAGGATCTCAATGCATTTAATTAATAAAGGTTGTTTTAAAGCAACTTTGTATAATGAAGTCATATTTAACGTATTTATAATTTCATAAGAAATCTACAAGCCCTGCCTGGTTTGGCTCAGTGGATAGAGCGTCGGCCTGCGGACTGAAGGGTCCCAGGTTCGATTCCGGTCAAGGGCATGTACCTTGGTTGCAGACACATCCCCAGTGGGAGGTGTGCAGGGGGCAGCTGATCAATGTTTCTCTCTCATCGATGTTTCTAACTCTCTATCCCTCTCCCTTCCTCTCTGTAAAAAAATCAATAAAGATATAATAAAGAAATCTATAATATGAAAATTGCATATTGTAATTATTTACTTATTTTGCATTACCTAGATTTTTTTAAAAAAAATCTTACGCATATACTTTTCCCAGAAACATACCCAACCAACCACAATCTCATATTACTGCTTATTCTTTGCAATCCACTCTATACTCTATTATTGTACCAAAAGATATTACCATCCCCAGCTTCTTGAGTATTAGGGACTCTCTCTATGCCTTCACAGGAAGTGAGATTTCAAAACAGGAGACATGTCTTGTGACACAATCCCACGTCATTATATCAGGAATTATTTTGACAGAAAACATAAATAAAGCTCAGATCATTTACAAAAATATCATAACTTCTTATATTTTCTCCACTTC